TTTCTTTTTTTTTTTTTTTTTTTTGTACTGGAGATTGAATCTAAGGGCTTCACACTGAGCTACATCCCCAGCCCTTTTTTATTTTAATTTTTTACAAACTTGAAACAGGATCTTACTAAGTTACTGAATTGCTCAGGCTTTGTTCGAATTTGGAATTTTCCGGTCTCAACCTCCAACAGCACTGGGATTATAGGTGTGCACTACCATGCCCAGCATCTCCTTATTTTTTTATCTATTTTTTTGTGAAAGCAATCACAGAAATCAGTCTCATAATAGCCTTAGCATGTGACATATTGAAACATGGGGGGAGACAGATTTAAGAGTTCATGATTTCTGTTCTTGGCATGGACAAAATAAGTAAATTATCAAATCACATTTATACATCCATGTGGACCTTGTGTAAATGTATACAGAGCAAGTTAAACAAGCACTTTGTTCTTATACTCAAATTATTAAATGCAGGCAAAGGAATGAACTAAACCAGCCCTGCAATGCTGAGACCCAAACAGCTAGTGAGAGGCTCAGGCAATTTACAGCTTTGGAAACTCAAACAACCACCTTTAACTTATTTGTTGGAAACAAGACAGAATGATGAGTTCATTTCCACTTAAGGAGGTTCCAAGGAGCGGGTCACAATTCAGGAGTTACTTGAAGGAAGGAAGAGAGGTGGCTTGGCATATGAGCACATATTTTAGGAGGAGATGTGATGAAAGGATCAAAGCTACAACGAATAGAGTGAAATGGAGAGTGTATTCAGCAGACTTCTGAGGGCAGAGGTGGAGCTATTTTAAGAAGGCTGCTGTGAGTTGAGTGGCTTAAAGCTTTGGCAAGGTATGTGTGTGTGGGGGCTGATCAGAAGAAAACTCAGTTTTATGTATTTAACAGAAACTGAGTACTCTTTAGGAGCTGTCCACTAATTGGGTGCATTCGACAGGCAGGTCTGAATTCTTTATTCTCTCATATAATTTTCACAACAAAAATAAAACTGAAGTCATACCTCAGTACTTACCAGCTTCAGAACTCTTCAAACCTGGCACTGTCCTTGTATGTTTCAGACTCCCTTTGACAGGGCCAGTTTGAAATACAAATAGAAAGTTTTAGGGTTTTTTTTGTTTGTTTGTTTCTACTGGGGGTCGAACTCTGGTCCTTGGGCTTGCGAGGCAGGCAACGGAACCACTGAGCTAAATCCCCAGCCCAAAATAGACACTTTTAAATCAGCTCCTTCTACAGGAAGGCATGTAAGTGGAATGAAGAAGATAACTCAACCCAGAGAAGGAGAAAGTATTCTAGGAGAGGAAATGGTGGCATTTCTACAAAACAGAGCAGGTCGGCCCTTCCTCAGATCCTTAGCAGAATCTTTTTCCACATTTCGACAAGTGAGACAGTGTCTGTTGAACTGTTACTTTTAATAGTAAACAACTGATCAGTTGAAATGTTTAAAACTGGGTTCGTTTAAATTGTGCTGCATCTTAGTCTGATGAAAGACTACTTAGTCATTAAAAACAATATTTTAGAAGAGATCTTTAAAAATTGGAACAGACTTATGCAATTATAGATTTTAAATATTTTGAATATTCCAGATCTCTACATTGAGGATAAGTTATTATAATCAGAAAATAAAGAATGCATGTAAAATATAAGAATTAAAAATTGACCTAAAAGGTAAAGTATGTGACACTGAACTGAGGGGACTTAAGATATAATTTTTTAAATTTTTGTTTTTATTAGTACATATTTGTAATAAACAATAGTTACATTCATCATGAGGAGTTGGTACACGTATGCAGTGCATCTTAATTCTTTTTGTATCCCCTTCCCTTCCTCTCCTTTCCTGTCCATGTCTTGGTCCTCTTTCCATTTGCAAACAATTGAACTGTTTTTTATTTTTATTTGTAGAAGTTGAAATACATAATGACTAAATTCATTGGGGAATTTGATACATGGACATGATGTATTTTAATTCTTTTTACAACTTACCCCTCATCTCTTGTTTCTTCCCTTTTAGAGCAGGCAAGAAAACAAAACTCTCTATTTGAATTATTTCCAAACTGAGAATGCCTTGAGTCGCATGTTTACAAAGAATGATGTACTATTTTTCTTTATTAATAGTATTTATATTCCAAAGCATTTTCATGTCAGAGTAGTAGATCTAAAAACCTGCTGTAAGAAGAGGATTTTAGGGCTGAGGATTTAGTTCAGTGGCGTTGCTGCCTGCCTTGCAAGCCCAAGGTCCTGAATTCGATCCCTGGTACCAAAAAAAGAAAGAAAAAAGGAGAGAGAGAGAGAGAGAGAGAGAGAGAGAGAGAGGACATTGTAGGCATCCTCAGATGAGAACCTGGGTGAGGCTTGAAGAGTTAGAGATTTTGACAAGAATGAGCCAACAAAACTCTAAGCATGCTACTGCCCAACTAGTTATCTCTTTCTCAGTTTGGACTGAATTTTCTCTACACAAATAAACACCCTTGATTCACTGAAGAGTGAATGTAAATCAATTTAAGACAAAGAAAATATATTTCTCATTTTAAGCTTAGGAAATTATGGAGAAATCAGAATGATCATTCTTCCGATTTGTTTAAAATTTAAAAACTTCTCCTCTTAGTCACTGGGGCAAAAAGTCAGACTGCCTGATTCAAAGACTGACACTTACTAGCTGGATGTCCTTGGAGAAATTACTTCACTTCTCTGTATCTCAGGTTTCTCATTTGTAGAATACAGATGCATAATGATAATATCCTCCTCAGAATGTAACGATGTAGATTAAAATGAGTTAATGTACCTGAAGTGCTTAGAACAGAAGCTGGTATATCTTAAGGGGAAATGTGATTTAGAAGCCTTCATAATCTAATGGAGATAATAAACAAATAATTATAATAGATCTGATAAAAGTAATAGAAACTGGTACAAAGTGATGCATACACAGAGAAGTAACTAACCTTTTCTAGTGGTACTAAGGAAAGATTTATTAGAGAGAGAGTTGTTAATTTAAATGAACTACAGAAAGGACTTTTGTCAAGGCAAAAATAATGGGCAGAGAGAAGAGCACATGCAAAGACCTAGAGTGTGAAAAGGTGTGGTATGTCTGGAACTCATGGCCTCATCCTAGACAGTGATTAAATTGATTTGCCACAGTCTGCACTGAGGCTTACACTATGACTGATCCTTAATAATTAGTGATTTGAATAATAATCAACACAAGCCAGACCAAATATATGTACTGCGTAAAAGGATATTTTTTTCTTGCCCTATTGTACTAAATCATGCAAACTTAAATAGGTTACAATAAAGTTTCTCAGTACTAAAAGCTAGATTCTACTTTTTATCCATCATGTCAGTTCTCTTTCCATGATATGACCTTGCATAGGTCATGTACAAATTGTGCCATGATATGCATCTCTAAGCACAGCAGTTATGATCATCTATTTTATCCTAAACCTAAAAGAGAAACTAAAATTAAAACATAATAAAAAATAACTCCAGAATTCATCTTAGGTTTACTTCAGAAGCTACTGGGAGCTTGAGAAGCATAATAGAAAATCTAAGGAATATATCTAGGGGGTATTTTTCTTTTTTACCTTGTTTGAGAGACTGCAGAAAAGGACTTGGTCTTAGAAATCTTGTAAAGAAGGAGGATAGGAGGAAATTCAAAGACTCGGGAAACTTCTCCCCCAGGACTTGGCAGCATATCTTATTTGTTGTATTTCATTTTTTTAAAAAAGAGTTTTCCCAGGACTGTGAGATCTTTTATACATGGAAATAGAGAACAGAATTCACCAGTTGTAGCAATAGAGCTCCAGCACTCACATCTAAGAATTGAAAATATGCTTCTAATTATTTTATTTTAAGATAAATTGGTAAAAGTTTATAGCTTTAAATGAGGCTTTCATTATGTTAAATTTTTTTTAATGATGTATAGCTGTAAGGATTTCAAAACATACTGCGTAATGCCTAACAAAAGCTACATTCTTTTTTTTTTTTTTGACCTTTCAAGGCA